TTCGGCTAGTCATCTTCGTCAGAGCTCAGGAGGTAAAAAATATTTGCGATTCACTCGGGATTCACTATGATCAAACGATGTATAGAACTCAGTTCAGTTCAAAAGTAGCCTATACATATCTATCTACATATCCATATCTAGAAAGGGTCTTGCAAAACCACAGATCACCCATCTCAGATATCCAAAAGAAAACCGAGGACCCTCTTCTTCAATAGGCGTATTTAAAGCTTTCGCAGTGGGTGGGCTGCTAGTGTCCTCCCCCTGGCTTGACGTCGGTTGCAATTGAAAACCACATAGATCAAGAAACGACGCAAGCTCATTAGTTACGGCAAGATATTCATCTGCCCGATTCATTTTGAGATTCTCCGCGCTGATCCAAAAGGCTTCGAAAGTCTTGCGCGGTGATCCAAAGACTTAAAAGTTTTTCGCACTCTGGTTGTGGACCCCCACATCAAGATCCTGATTGATACCTCAAATTCTACAACTTATTGTTAGTGGCGATGCCTCTTATGACCTCCCAAGCGCGTTTTAGACTTCGATTTTGCAGACCATCCAGATGTTCTTTAACCCCGCATATTAGAGGTTCCCCTGTTTCGCTCATGTATTCATCTCAGCGGAGCTTACACGCGATCAAGTAGATCACACGCCCACGCCATGAGTCACCTTCTCGCCCGCTGAGAAAGATGACACAATGGGCGGCGCGGGGGGGGGGGGAGAATGCTGATTGGTTTTTTTGGACGCACCGACCTGAAATGGACTGAAATATGTTCTCGTGCTGGTGGGTTTCTTGTACCATTTTATCCGCAAGAACCCTCGCTCAAACTGGATCTGTATGTTGAGAAAAGGCGACCAATTCTCTTTAAGCTTTTCTCGTTCAAGTAGTATATGGTCAAATTGGCTGTTCAGCAAGTCGAAACACGTGTTCATTTCCTTCTGGGTTGAGCAGGCGACAAAACAGCCATCCACGTAGCGGCAATATAGGACAGCCCGGCGATCGAGGAGTTTCCAATTTCGACATAACGAAATGGCTGGCACGGCTCCAGCCGCTGACCAATAGCTGACCCCCTAATCTGTTTGGAGTATCACCCGGACCACCTGAATATGGCGCAGTCCAGACATTCCCTGACCAACGCCATCATTTGTTAAACAGAACGCACTAATTTTTACGATAATGCGCTATCGTTTCTAAACTTAGGTCCCATCTTCGCCCAAGTACAATCGATAGGTCGTGGAGTATTGCGAAAAATCCCCTAGATTGTCTTTGGGCTCAGTCACAGACAAGGCGGTCTTTGGCGCAAGGCCATGCGACAGGAAATCATACATATTTATTGACGCCATGTTCATTTGAAAACTCGTAGGTTGTTGCATGGCGTGCCCGTTTAACACATTCGTGTGAAGGGAGATGACGTCAAATGGTTCTAAGACGTGTTTCCTTCTAAATCTAGTCTCTCGCACTTGGCCATGGAACTTCATGCTGTTGCTGAGATGGGCGGGGAAAAACTGGAAATCCAAGGGGTTCAGTGAGGGAAGAGAGCTTGGTGAGAGTTTAGTTTAGTGTAGTTTCAATGAGAACATAGAGTGCAAGGCAGGCTGGGAGGTCACCCCTTAAACGTGTGCCTACCGCTTTACGCAGATCCGCAGTCCGTGTTGTGTACGGTCAAACCCTATTCGAGCGGCAGTACTGCCTTTTGTATTCTTCTTCTGATGACCGATAAAGGGGCACATTTTCTGACTCGGTTATGGCAATTCCAGGTTTCGCACCATGACCGCCACATCACTTCCCTTGTCGCTGACTGAAATTTTGATTATAATGGAGTTCGCGAAATCCTTAAGTTCGACAACCCCCGTTTTGCGATGCAGCGAGGTTGGAAATAGGTTACGGCCTATTGTTTCGCCTTAGGATTTCGAAAACGGAAGTTGCAAAAAGATGGGACGTAGAGCACTCACTGCGGGTTTGATCCTGTGGCCGGAAGAATAATGAGGGGAAGGGGATGGCGGGAAAGGTCGATCACACTGGGTGTTAACGACAATTTTCCTGTCGCATGGCCTTGCGCCAAAGACTGCCTTGTAGAGCCCGAAGATCACCTAGGACTTTTCGCGATACGCCACGACCTATCGATTGTACTTGAGCGAAGATGGGACCTAAGTCTAGAACCGATAGCGCATTATCGTAAAAACTAGTGCGTTCTGTTTGACAAATGATGACGTTGGTCAGGGAATGTCTGGACTGTGGTCCGGGTGATACTCCAAGCAGATTAGGGGGTTAGCCATGGGTCAGCGGCTGGAGCCGTGCTAGCCATTTCGTACATGTCAAAATTGAAAACTCCTTCTCGATCGCCGGGCTGTCCTATAATGCCGCTGCGTGGACGGCTGTTTTGTCGCCTGCTTAACCCAGCAAGAAATGGACACGTGTTTCAAACTGCCGAACAGCCAACCTAACAGTATACGATTTACTCGAGAAAAGCCCAACGACAGTTGGTTGTCTCTTCTGGAAAAGCAGACCAAGCTTGAGTAAGGGCTCCTGCGGACAAAGTGGTAAAGGAAATCCCAGCACGAATAGTTCAGTCCATTTCAGGTCGGCGGATCCATACAAAATTAAGCGGGCCATCATGGTCAATATGGGTAGTACAGCGAAAACGGTCATCGAGTCAAAACAAGAAGGATCCATGGATCTTGTTAGGAAAGCGGCTATCTCTAATGAATATCCACTGAGGGACCAGCGCTCTGGCAGACTACCGCGGAGAAGGCTACACGACCGAGCAAAAAGTATTCCTTTTTGCCTGCTGTTCGTGTTGCACTCCGCCAATTCAAAAGTGAAATGGCTTTGCATAAGTGTGGACTCGATGATGCGGTCCAGGTAGCTGCAGTCCTTCATACAAATCCAAGGCAAAGACTGGTCCAAAACCGTCTGCTTGACCACTTCCACTTCCAACCACCCTCCCNCCCCCTCCCCCCCCCCCCCCCCCCCCCCCCCCCCCCTCATAGTTGTCATGATGACGCATGGCGTCGCAAGCTCCGCGGAGATGAATACATGGGCAAAACAGGGAAACCTCTAACATGTAGGGTTAAGGAACATCTGGATGGCCAGAAAAAAATCGACGTCCAAAACGCCCTTGATAGACCCTAGGAGGCATCGTCACGAAAATGTAGAGTTTGAAGTTTCAATAAGGATCTTGATGCGGGGTGCCAGGAGCTCAGCGCGGAAGACTTTTGAAGCTTTTGAACCAGCGCGAAAAATCCCAAAATGAGTCGGAAAGTTGAATGCCTTGCCGTAATTAAAGAGTTTACCCTATTCATCGTCCAGTGTGGTTTTCAACTGCTACCGGCGCCAAGCCAGGGCTCGAGACACTGGAAGCCCACCCACTGCGAAAGGTTTGGAACAAAGTTTGAAAAAGTGGGTCAACGGTCCCCGTTTGCATCTAAGATGGGTAATGTGTTTTGGAAAACCTCTCTAGACTTCTATAGGCTACACTCTTAACTAAACTGAGGTCTAAACGTCGCTTGATCATGATGAATTCCAAATATTTTTTGGCTTCCAAGCTTTGGCGACTGGCCGCAAGGTTGATCGAATCAAAATTATAACATCTCGGCCGAAGCTTCAGGGGAGACACCTAGATTTCCCAATTTCACTACGTGCTTCCACTCAAGCTACTTTCATGTCACGCACGCTCCGCTTCCTTCAAAATTTCTACGTCCCCAACTTGTTGCTTTCTGCCATCTACCATCGGTGTCTTACTGCCACCTGCACTATGCCAAATTTGAACGCCCTAGGCTTGAATTGTAATCCTGCAAAACTTGATTGCTCCAGGTCCACGAGAACTGGAGTCACGAATGTAGCTAAAACATTTAATTCGCGCAAGCCCGCCCCCTTTGAGCGGAGTCCAGACGAACCACTTGTCATAAGTATTCCCATCCTGCCGCCTGTATTCATACAAACTTTGAATGCTCGCAGTCCTTGGTATCAACAGTTACGAATTTTTGATAAAACATTTATTTCGCGCAATCTCTGCCCTCTGGGCGTAGTCTCGTCTGCCACCAACCATAAGTGATTTCGTCCCGCCTCCTGTACTCCTAACAAATTGTAAAGCTTTAGGTCCAGTGGGACAGCAGTTATGAATTTCGGGTCGGACACACACGCACACGCACACATCTGTGCCAGGACTTCTTGGCCCTAGCATTCTCGACTGAAACCCACGTTCCATTTGATATTTAGAATCTGCCGAGCAAGCTATGAAAGGCCAAATTCTGCTCAGAAGGCTATGTCGATCCGTGAGTGAAGTTAGTTGCAGACTCGAAAGACGGAAGAGCACAGTGCGAACAATAGCCTTGGAAATAGGCTTCCTCTCTACTAACGGAAAAAAAGGTCGTAACAGATGGCCGGGGTTCCGAACAAGAGTCGCAACAGAGTAGATATTAGTGCAACACGTCAAATATTGTAGAATCAGGACAACCCTTTTGTTTTAGTCGAGTCGAGTTAGATTCAAAGTTGTATGGGAAACTGGAGCTCTACAGTAATCCCAGCACTTATCCAACTGACCCACTGCATATATCAGCCAACCATTCATGACTGCGAAAATAGCTGGTGGCATGATGTAGTTGGTTGACGCACTGAGCATACCAGCTTTGTAAGTGAATTTCTTCCTGTAAATTGTCTAGATCACAAGAAACCATTTTCGGCAGCACATTTTCTGGAAGAATTCAGATTTAGGAGAGAGAGGGTCATGAGCACAGCAACGCTCTCATAAATGATGGTAAGTAATCTGCTTCCAGTTGAAATATCCATTGCTCGATTGCATAACGTCACAAAAGAATATTTACAAAGTTTACTTGAACGAACTAAATGCAACAGCTCAACAACAATTTAACAAAGGGAATTAAACCAATAGAGTTGAATTAACAGCAATTACACTACGAAACAAGCGAGGGACATCCCGTTTTATTTTTTCTATTCTGCTCCTGTTCTTTACTTTGTAAACAGATTCTTCAGTCCGCAGTGCTTCTTACAAACTTTTACGTTTTGCAACTTTAACTTCACCACCGCACCCTTCTAGCCCCATTTTTCTTTTCCTTTTTTTCTTCACCGCTGTTGTGTTTCGGCCATCTTCATTCATTTTACACATTTTGTTGTTCGAACTTTCGCTTCGAACTCTCTCTTCAGCAGATGTTCTCTCAAAAACAGCAACAAAAAAACCATTCGTCAAAGTCTTGGAAGGATCAGCGCGGAGGCAGTCTGCGCCAAAATCATATGTGTCCAATCCTCTATGGTTCCAAGTTGGCAACACAGATGAAGCCAGATGAAAATTCTGGCGCACATAGGTATCAAGTAAAACCTGAAAGAGTTGAAATAGAAATAAGGACATCAGCCTTATAATTATTCTTACATAGATAATAAAGAATATTCGACCTATTTTAGAAATATCATATTATCAGCTAAAACAACATATTCCTACTTCGTAGCCACCCCCTTCCACGATACTATGACTAGAACAGCAGTAGCTACGCAGCTACGGGAAGAGTCGCAAGCCGCTCTCTATCACCTTCACCGCGGTCGGTTTCTACTCCTCACGGACAACGCGCCAGCGCACAAATCTCATTTGGTCAAGACAACTCTAGGGAAGGGCTTCACATCATTCTTATTCTCCGACCTCTGACAATCAGTTGAACAATCAAAACAAGGACAAAAGGGGTGACGAGATTGAATTGCCTCTCGTTCGACAGTTTCTGTGTGGGAGGGATCACTGTCATACTGGGAAGATAGAGGAAGGTTATGAGGCAGAAAGGTTAATAACCAAGAAATGTAAAATAGTAAAGTGTACTATAAATCTTTGGGACACCCCATATATAGTATTTCATCATCATTTCAATGACGTGCCTATAGTCTACAAGTGCTAGATGATTGGTGTCTCTAGTCTGAAGAACATTTAAGATGGTCTCCCAATCAAATATGCTCAATATATTACGAGGTTGTCCACGTTGTATGGTAACTAATACCGCTTCTGAAAGAGTACCAAAGGGAAACTACGAAAAATTATTTTCATGGATATAGAGCTTAATTACATGCAGCAACATGATCACAGTCTAAGAGTCTGAACCATAAATAAACCTTGTGTTCGATCACAACTGGTATTCGATTTGAAGGCTGAGTTCTCGATAATTTTAGGTTATCTAGTTGCAGAGGAATAATTGAAGTGATAGTACAGGACAGTGAAAAGTGGCGAAAAACGTGGAAATCAGTCCATTCGGAGAATGCTACTAAAGAGGTAGGACTAGGTGTTGGACGAGAATGAGAGAACAGAAACTGCATGGAAGATTTTTCGGACGAGATGTTCGATTGTGCGCTTTTTTTTTGACCCGACAGAGCCCCCTAGGCCATCCTAGGGGCTTACAAGTTCAAGGGAAAAATCTCAGAATTGTTTTTAACATGGACGGTGCCTTCGATGCACCCTTGTTGACAAAATCCGTGTGGAAGGGCGCCTTACTCTCGAAGACGATAAAGATTTCTTCCTTTTGACGTATATTTTACTTCAGTTGAACAAACATGAATCATTAAGCATAGGTCCTGCGCAAGCAGAATATGAATGCGAGGAATCATGAGTGAACTAGAAAGCAAAAACAAGAGGGCTGCTCTCACATTACCAGCAGCTTACAATTACATTTACAATACAGAAGTACATAACAAAATTTGCTTTCGATCAGCATTTCGAGGTTTCCGCCAAGAAAGAGCATCTCAAAAGAGATTTGACAAATGCCATAAACTAGCAATTCCCGGATTTGGTAGTAACTTCCACGCTCGGTCTTCTTGAAACCTGGGCATGTTGGAATGGCTATTTTGCCATTTACACGTTATGGTAGAAACCGCTTCGACATATCGAACAACTCTTTGTCTTTCGGTTGTTCAGCGCGGAATTTTTCTCACAAATGTGCATCGCTCCTAGTTCATTCTGGTACCGATCTCATTATCGACCGGGAAGGTTTTCTATAGTCTGATCAAGACTCGTAAGTTGTCTAACGGAGGCGAAAAGTCAGTTAATGCTAGTGATTACAAATTGGACCCATTATCAGCAGTGAAGAAGGACCGACGGATCGTATTTTCTAATTCCCCGACATAATTGTTGGCCAGCTACTCCTGTACATACCCACACATCTGCCTAGCACCAATGAATTTCTTGATCACTCATTTCTTGTTCATGTAGACTTCAAGAAAACTGCGTAGTAGAGTCATTCGATGTAACTGCGCTCGATACGAACTTCAACAACAACGAAGCTCTCCAAGCAGTCTCCAAAATACCAGACGAGCATGAAACAGAAATTGTGACCTTCGAATTGAGCCTTGGTTTGATCAAAGAATGCCTTAATTGTAATATTTTCAAATGGAGCGGGCAATACTTCTCCCAAAGGCGAGGAATTGCTCTGACTAGCACTGGTCTTAGCTATCTGTTTCATGAGCAGGATAGAAAAGTTATAGCGCACATGCCCATTATGTACTGTCGGTACATCGATGACCTGCTGCGTAATTACGTCAGCGCAGCAGGGGATGGACGTACTGTTTAACATCCTCAACCGACACTCACAGCTCACCATGTTCACGAGAGAAGTTCCGTACAAAGGCTGCCTTCCTTATCTGAACACGCAGATAAAGATCTCAGGTGGAAGGTATCATGTGAAGTGGTACAGGAAGAACAGCCCGAAGAACATTTGACTCCACGCGAAGACTGCTCACCCTGAAGCTGTGAAACATGCAGTTGTTCGTAAAATGTACAGAACGGCTACAGGAGTGTAAAGGCGAGGTGGAACGAGAGAAGTCAGTATGCATGCAGTAGCATGCGAGATCGTAAAATTGGATGGCTATGGGACACAACACAGAAGGTCAGGCTCAAAGCTTGTTCGCTGAGAAACCGTGAGAATGTGTTGCATCTGCCGCTTCCATTTGAATCGGATAAAGTCAGCGCAGAAATTCGACAATGCATTGCTCGAGCGGATCTGGCTAATGGTGTTGTCTTGGTAAACCTACCAACGGACAATACCGAAGGTCAACTCACCCGCAATAGATTTTATGATTGTGCATGTTCTACGAATAGCTGCGTTATTTGTTCGTTCCGAAAAAACGGGCACTGCTAACAGTGTTGGACGAGATATCGAATTAAGTGTTCAGCCTGTGACGATTCGGAAGTGCATAATTTTCTTGTTAGGAGGGCTTCTCAAATCTGCACATTCCTTCATGTTTCTGATATACCTTAGCCCACATATCTACGTTGGTGATCTTAATCCGTCAGATTTCGAAAAACGATGGAGCCTTACAGACATCCACCAACCGTTCCGTCTGTGTGAGCATTTGGTGTGTTCTTTTCCGGGATCGCTCCTTGTTTTAACATTTTTCACATTACAGTCTCTTAAACGCGATGCGTAGACAGAAAAACGACAAACCTCAAAACGGACTGTTGATTTGTTTGCATGCTCTACTCCGATGAGAAGGTCTACCCTGAGTAAACACGGTTGTATACGGATAGCATTCGGAAGCCTTATAAGCTTTTGGCGGGCTACTTGCGCGCGGCACGCGCTTCGACAGACTTTTTTCTGATTAAAGGGTGTTTAGCGTGGAAGAAATGATGAGATCCCACAGTACACGTATGTTACACACTAAGAGTGCTGAGCCGCTGAGAAGAGTCAGACCGCCTCCCGTACCCATTTTCCCTCTTTCATGATGGTTATGTCGAGATCTACACCATCACAGCGATATCGCAAATTTTGGAAAGAACAAGACTCAAGCTGAGGAAATGTTCGCGACTTTATTCCAGCTTGCAATCCTCCTACGAATTTCCCGGACCACAGTGTGACGAGACTCTGGATGTAGTCCATACTGAGGAGGAAAACATGCTGAAGTTGAAAACAACTTCAAAACGCACTACTGTTGCTGCTTCTAAGGAATTTTTTTAAAAAAAGCCCGGGCTGGAGTTTCTCAAGAAACCCTGCGTGTCACCGTCGATGAGTAGCCAAAGCGTCTTCGAGCTATAATTAGTACAAGAGACGGTTATATAAGAGGACCGTGTGCACCATATTTATGGCGCACCTCGTATTTATATTGGTAAGAGGGAAAGGATATTGGGCATACGCGTCAAAGAACATCTAGCAGGTAAAAGGCACGGAAGCTTCTCTACGCCACTTGAAAAGCATCGACTAGAAGTACATAAAATCAATGATTCTGATATTAAATGCAAAACCCGAGGCTACGAGAAAGAGGTCAGTGCTAGAAAGATCTTGGAAGCGTTGCACATCTGCGAGAGAAATCTCGCGCTGAACAACCAAAAAGAGTGCGGTGCCGTGAGAGGAGAATTCCTGCCGTTCATTCTTTTTTGCGAGCTTTGAAAACACCGCGCAACTCTTACCAACGACCTCAATGGTATCTCATTGGTCCCTTGTTGTTCACAAAATTGAGGGGGACAGCGTCGTTGGGGAACCACATAAGGTTGGTTTCTCGATTGGGATGTTTGGTGTTCATGTTTCTGGAAGCTGTTACAACTAGGCTAGCGCGTTTGGGCTTGGGTAAGCCACAGATCAAGAGCTTTGAACTGCTTTCAGGTCCTGAAGATGACGAGTTGCTCGAAACGTCGACCGAATAAAGCGGTTTCGACCATAAAAAGCTGTACGGAAAAAAAGTGTAAAACATTCTCGAATATGGATTTTGCAAAACAGTATGTGGAAATATTAATTTACTGATCATCGCACTATACTCAATACATTTTTAAAGCAATAATGCCCACCTCATCCACTACCATTTCATTCTCTTCTTCAAAAATAGAACATGTTGAGTAGACAGCGCGTTGCAAATTTGGAAACTTCAGAGCATGTTTTAATATCATGGTCTGAAAACTGAATATTCCTGGGTTCATCTGAATACAGATCCATCTCTACGAACGGAATGGAGGTTAAATATTACCTGAAGATTCCTTAGTTTTGCTAAACGCTCTGCTTGAGCATTACCACCTGTAAGTTCATCCATTCGTTTTACCATACCAGAACCGGAACACGGAGGATCAACGATTGCGTACTTCACCTGGGATGGCATTCGTTGTTAATAAATGTGAAATACAGCATTTGGACGTAATTAATTCAGAGCTTCTATTAGAAACAGACACAGAAATCACCTCAGAAAACTTTTTTGCGTTCACATCAGTTTTGAGGAAGTCTCCGTGGAGAATAGTGGCATTTTTAACCTCACACTCTTCCAGAATTTGTTTCATCGTTTCTATCCGATCCTCTGACCGATCTGTTGCCCAGATTCTGCTGAAAAAAGTCAACACGGTTACATGGAAAAGATTTACAAGAGTCTCTAATCTGAAATACTAGTTTCACGAAGAATGGTACGTCGCGCGTTGTGATGATCGCCATCGAGTGCTCGATGTTTAATATCAGCAGTTTTTGCAGCAACTTTTTTGTTTCACCCTCTGCACCTTCCTTGATACAGACCTCTCTCGCACACTACTTGATAGCCTGTTCAAAAATAGACTAATGTACGAAGCCAAAACCTATTTGGGCACAAAAATCACAATAAAAATGGTTTCTGAAAGTTCGCTCAAGATGAGCCTAGGGCCCCACGAACAGCACGTGTCAAAAAACGAAAGGACGTTATAAGGGCTCTGAAACTGGCCTGGCCGACGTAAACACCCAAAAGTGGCCGTGATACGGCGCCCTTGTTAAGACTGCATGATAAGTCTACATGATTTGCAGAGAAGATTCGTGGGCCAGCAAATAAGTATGTTTATAGGGGAGAGATCTAGACGGTTATAGACATGTGATGTGACCTCGTACAAACCCCTTCCTTAACACTTTCGAAGCCTTACATGATATTTCCTAAACAAGTCAATTTTCGCGCTTTCTTTTCCCATTTTTGAGCTACTTCGCACCACTACATCAATTATTTTACTCAAGCTAAGCACCTTAGAATTATCGTTAACTGTGGTTAAACTCTTTTCCTTCGATAGCCCTGCTTCCCCTTCTTCACACATGACAATGCCATCACATTTACAATATAGGGATACGACTACCAGTTGGACTAGGTTTTCATTTTTGAGACTGCATCAAGGAATACACTAACCCAGTCCCTCCAAGGATGGCAGCAGCGTGGCTTGTCTTCATTCCTGGAGCCGCACATGTATCAAAAACATGAGATCCGGGAAGAGGAGCAAGCACGTATGCAGGTAAACAAGATGCCTAAAATGTTAAAATCAATTTCTAGTGCAAATGAATATTGCGCTTCAGCAAGAGCTCAAATGTGTCTTTATTTCGATTTTTCATTACACCTTATCTTGAAGAATGAGATAGCGTTGTTCCACGGGCCAATATCGATGGAACTCTTTGGAGTGCGGAAAAATCAGCAAATTTTCCACATGTGGGTCAACAATGACCTGAAAGAATGGATGAGAAAAATTAGGGAAAAATTTGCTCTTAATTAGCATGATCATGCAAAGCGTAGCCAGCGGTCAGTGTTATTTTTTATCCTACTCAGCAAATTCAGCATAATTTCAGACGAATCCAACAACTTACTTTACTCTTGTTTACTTGTGCTCATAAGTGAATTAGTTTTTGCTTACCGTAGCCAGTTATTTGCACAAGGACCCACACGTACGCAATAACCCACATTCTATAGCTCGTCCAAACGCCCCTTTCCTCTTCATTCCTCTGGTCTCATTCTCGTCCAGAAACCTTTTTGCGGTTTTTCGAAGCTTTTTTCACTTTGAGGACACCGATTCACGCAGTTCCTTCGCCTTCACCCTCCAATTTCTCACATTATCTTCTATTCTTCGTCATAACCTGGATTACCAAAATTATCGTGCTTTTATTCACGATCTTTCCAAACATTATGCTACTGGAAAGTTCATGAGCCCTTTTCTTTATTTTTGATTGGTTTTTCCGTCCGAGTTTGAACTGAGTCAGTCATTTCCTTCACAATTTCTATGCAATGATACCACTTCTTATCCTGAAGTTTCGTTTCTATATTCTACCCGAATAAATGTTCCACTTTTAAATTAGTTCGAACTCAGCTTTGCCTTATGGTAGTGTACTACTATTAAGGGAAAACACTACATCGCAGTGACGATTGAAGACGAGGGCTAATCGCCGAATATGTTTTCGGATTCTGCTGTCGAATCCACATTCTGAGCGGGCGAAACGGAGCTGTAATGGACCTACGAAAGCATTTACTTCGATCGACAGATTTCGTCAAACATGTATTAATATATTATTATATAATACTATATTAATACTCAAATTGTATTAATATATACAACTTGAGCTATGGTGGGTAGCAGTATTATCTGTCGCCCGTTAAACATCTCATGATGCCCTGGCGATTACCGACTGGATTCCTCGGGATCGGTAATCGCCTCAGTTCAACTGCCATCGCAGCATCGGAAGACGTGTCCGCCCACCTGCTCTTTGAAAGCACAGAGTACTCCGCTTACGTTGTTGAACTTCTTCTGCCTTCCGAGGTTTTTAGGTAGGACACTATTATCTTGAGGACCTGACGTTTCGACATAACCGTCATCTTCAGAGTTCTGAACTCAATTCGAGATGGTTTACAGTATTCGACAGCGTTTGATCTCTTTGGTGAACTAATGACCGAAACTAATCGGAGAACTTCCCACTTCAAGAAATATTCACCAGGCTCCAACATTAAAGGCACAGTTCACGATAATTTTGGGTAATCCAAGTAATGATGAAAAATGACAGACAAGATCTGAAATAGTGCGACGAATGTGGAGAAACTGCGTGAATCGGTGTTTACAAAGTGAAAAAAGACTTCGAAAAACCATTCAAAAGGGGGCTGTACGAGAATGAGACCAGAAAAATGAAGAAGAGTGGGGCGTTTGGACGAGCTGTACAATGTGTCTCCCTGCGTACGTGTGGATCCTGGTACGAATAACAGACTATGGTATGCGAAAATTCATTCACTTACAAGCACAAGTAAACAAAAAAACCCTAGTAACAGGAGAAGTTGCTCATCTTTTCCAGCCTCTAGGAGTAGGAAGTTAAATGAGGGATCGCGGCAGCAAAAAAATAACAGAGGAAAAAAGAATCGGAGAAAGACAACGCTCATCACTCGGCGTCCAGCTGATTGTGTGTGGATCCTAGAACGGATATTCGCAATCTGTATTGTCTCGACACTGGTCTGACGTGATGAAGTGACATCGATCGAGAGGCGGGAAAGCCACTGACGTTCCTGCCCATTGAATTATCGTGAACTGTGCCTTTAAAGCGGCTAGAATCCGCTGTCGCCACAGACGATTGACAGTCGCGAATGAGACTTCCTGATGTCTCGCTTACACTTATGATAAGAGAGAGCATATTACGATGCAACTGACCACAAGTCATAGTTCGCAGAGCGCTAAGTATGGCAAGACAGCACTGATTATGGACGGATACTTATCTCGATTGCTTATCATGGGATTCTTTTGCAGAATTCAGAACGCTCCTAATGCCTTTTTGCTAAAATTTCTGTCTCCTATGCCAATATCGTGCACTTCACTTCATAATTGTCGACGTGTATTCCACAACATTATGTCGACCAGCACTGTCAAAAGGTTTCCGCGCCTCAACTAGCAAGATGTTCCATTATCCGTACAGCTAGTTGTCGTCCTGTCTAGTCTTTATAAGTCGATCGACATGCCCGACATTCTAGCTGGTAGATCACGTCCATAAGTGCGCAATCACCTGTTTTCCCATAGAGACATAATGCACAATTGTTTTCAAGAATTGTTTCGTGAGCCGGTTTCGAACTAACTGTTGCTTGATGTTGCTGTTGAGTTCGATGTGCCGTCTAGGTGACAGGTGGAGGTTTCTGTATTCAAGTAGGGTTGCGCCGTGAGAGATGTCTTGCTTGTGAAAATGGGCGTTTAGTGAATTTTATTTCACGATAGATTTTCGTAAGACTAACATGTCGTATTGGTTTCCATCTTCAGCGAATATGCAGGAGACATCAAAATCGCGAGCAAATACTTTGGTATTATTTGCTTTAGTCACACACACTGTATTCACAAAAAAACCTTACTTCATTTTCTGCCATGCTACTGACGCGGTCAATGAAGTTGTCTTCGTGTGTTAGGCAGATAACCTACAAGAAGTATGCATAATGCTTTCTGAATCTAATAAATCTGAATCACCTCTGATCACTACACCGCTGTAAAAAATAGCAGACTTCATCGGTAAAGTTTCTTAACATCCTCTCTAATTACCTTCCAATCTTCGTTCTTTAATTGTTCCGTGGCTTCTTCCATAGTCCACTTCAGTGTATTTACCCGGGCATAGCGTGGTATCGACGACGCTGGCCCACCAAGAATGGATTTCTCTTTGATAGCTGCTACACCCCGCCCATCTCGGTCTAATGATTTCTCCTGAATTCTTGCAAGGAGTCGTATAAAAGACTGCAGTAACTCGCTATTTGAGGACTCAAATCACTAAAGGTTCGAAAATTAGCAGACAACCCCTCATGAAGAGAAGAGTTGCAAAATGAGAGGCAGGATCTTTTCTGTGAGGTTTCGTGGGCACATCCTAGTTCAGAACTTTGTAAATGAAAATGTTTACCTTATCATGAATCGCCTTTGAATGTTTATATACTGCTCCACGAAGACGTGCTGACGCCTGGAATAGCGTGCTACGTAGTTTCAGGGATTTCCTATGAAAACTACATAAGATGATCAGAGAACCAGGAAGAGATCTTAATGATCAATCGCTAATAGCAGGAATCTCTGCCGTAGCACAGGAGATATTAGGGTTATGCCGCATAAGGGGCGGGGGGGGGGGGGCGCACATGGGCAAAGGTGAATTTTAATGTAACAGATATGAACAACTGAGCTTGCTCCATCACAGCATGATTTTGAGGCCCCCGCGTATGCCGTATCTGGCACTATCGGGGAACGGCTAGTTAGGGAGTTATGAAGACTCGAAGATTGGCCTATGTGTATCCTCGGACCTGTTTCACCGCCCTCGAGGCTGCATCATCACAAGGGAATCCAAGTAGGAGGTTCAAACAACTTGTCATGACCCATAACGACAGTGAAAGACGGTTCTGTACAGTTCTGGCTAAATGCAGTCAACTCTTTGTGCAATTGCAGTAACTGAAATACCGTCCGAATACCCCTTCCATGTCATTTCCGTCATGGCAATCGCGTCTAACCTCTATTTTCCTTACTTTTGAGAAGCCATATTTTCTCGAATTCGGCGAATTCTCTCGATTTCTTCATTACCGATGAACTATTCCCAGTCTATACTTCCGCTTTTCGAATAAAAACGGATACCTCAAAATTATCGTGAACTGTGCCTTCAAGTAGACATCGAAAGATAGCAAGAAATACTGAGGATCAAAAGCGGGGGAGCCAAGTTTGAGCAATAAGCTTGAATACGAGTGCTGGAACTAGAAGAAATAGATCTCTGGAGACAAAAGGAAAAAATCAGATTTCTCTTGAAGTCATATCAGGATAGGGTCGTTTCATGTTCCCAACCGGCCTGAATTTCAATCGCTGCGTGGCGCGAATGTATGTGCGGCGTGTCCCCACTATCCCGATAGAATCCCAGCACACTGGCAGAGGATAAGTGACTGCTGGGTCAGATCAACCTTGCAACCTGAGTTTTGACCAAAGGCATCTTTCATAGTCCACGACCAGTTGCGCGCGACCGGTCGCTAGCGACTGGCGACTAGTCGCGCGACTGGTCGCGGACTATGAAAGATGCCAAAGGAGATTATACAGAAAAATTCGTTGAAAACAATATCAGTGACTGCCCTCAGTCCGCCGGCCGACCAGCGAGCGCGCGCGTGATTGCGGTGGGCGGCGCTTGCCACCTGTTTACAAACTGAATGTTGATCGTTATCGCAGACCGAATGACTAATTTCTCGGCATTGAAAGCCTTTCAGCGGGCGCTTTCAATGCCGAGAAACTAGTCATCCGGGCTGCGGTATCGATCAACATTCAGTTTGTAAACAGGAGGCAAGCGCCGCTCCTGGCCGGCACGCGCGCACGCTCGCGATCGGCCGGCGAACTGTGAAAGCAGCCAGTAGTATGGTTGTGTATAGGAAGAATAACAGTTGAACTAACGTTGATCTTTGGTCCTAACGAATTCCGATGGGGCACGGGATGCAAAATGGAACCGTTCGTTAGAGCGGAAGGAAGCAAAGTAAGTTCTTCTTAACAACTTAACTTTTGAAAGCTTGCCAAGATATCCTAACAGAGAGAACCTTCAAAAACTATGAAGAACGATCTTTGTGGCAGCTTTTGAGTATTTTTGGACAACTTTGTTGACCGCCTGAATTAGCTGAAGATCTGTACACGAATGTAAGAATTGGAAAATCGGCTACAGGGCCGTCGTCTTCCTCGAATGGAGTGATCAGCGTTTTGTCGTTCTCGCTGCGTTTTCTTTACCATGCATGTCACATCAGGAGGAGAGTGCGCAGACTCCCCTACTACTAGTAATACAATATAGCACACTACAACGTGTCGGGTTCTGATTAATTCGTTGTTGCTGCAGATCTTCGAACGATCTCGTTCATCCCAGCGTTCACTCATATAAAGAAGCAGAGAATAGGAAAGGAGTAGGAAAGCATGGGTTTCCTGTCTAGCCACATAAAAACTTCACCGATGAAAAGAAATCACGCCTTTACATCTTTCAGATTAGTTCAACTGACGAACCAGTGAAAACTCTCAATGGGATACAGCACAATCGTAATTTCCCATACCTTCTCTATCTGTCTAGCAGTATGAGTTCGAAGTATGTAGTCCTAATAATTAGATAAGTCTTTTTCTGACCCATCTTCAAATCGCACACACGTTTACATTTCCACTATTGATGAAAGAGCGCTCTGGAGGGGATTACGCAACGAGCAGACACGCCTTCATTTTGCTGGTAGATAGAGAGACCGCTTCTGTCGGAGTTCGTTCCGCGCGTCCGTCGAAACCAGTTTACGTCGCAGCCGTAGCATGCATAGCGTCAGCCCACGACTTTTGACAAATGTCGTAGTTGTCGGTGGGCCAATGATCTGCGCTTGGTTCACGGCAGTCAGCTTGAACGGAAGATAACGGGTACTAGTGCGAATCACTCGCTCTACTGACACTTACTGATACTGTCATGTCGGGAGTTGGTCGTTTGGCGCGATACCCCTCGCGCCGCCCATTCGACGCCCTTGCAGACTGGACAACTCGTCCAGGTGATCGAGTAACCCACTGCCCATTCAGCCCAATCGATGAGCTGCTACTATTAGGCGCCTTATTGTGGACCTGCTTGCATTCGGCCTATAAGCGTGGCGTCATCGATCGGGCTTCTATCAGCTGAATGGGCAGTGGGTTGCTCGATCAAGTGGACGGGCTGTCCAGCTTCAAACAAGGTCGAATGGGCGACGCGATGGGAGGGATTGCGCAAAACGACACGCGTCATGTCATATCGAGATCGCAGTGGGCTGCGTCGAGCGCGAAATGGGCGGGTGACCTAATTTTGACGGACGCGCGGAACGGACGTTCTCCCTTCCGTCGGCAAGTAAAATTTTGTTTGACAAGTCCTGGAACCTGTAGATCTGTTCACGTTGCAGTGCCATTGGGCAAAAGTGATCATATGCAATGATACTTACTTTATATAAAGCGCTCGCGTCTGTCTGTCCGTCTGTCTGTCTTTTTGTACGGAAATCCGTAACTCCTGTCTCCGTGGACCTAGGGCGTTCAAAATTGGTAGGAGCAAAGGCGGCGGGATGGGGAACACTATGGTAGGTGGGAAGATCGGACTCCGCCTACAGTGGGCGGGGCTTGCGCAAAATAAACGTTTAAGTGTGTTGTGTCCTTGGGAGGTCGGGAAGAGTAGGAAGATTCATTAGAAGC